TCTCTTCCTCCTCTTTCTTCTTCTTCCTTCCTCCTCCTCTTCTTCTTCCTCCTCTTCTTCTTCTTCTTCCTCCTCCTCCTTCTTCTTCCTCTCATCTTTTTCCTCTTCTTCTTCCTTCTCTTCCTCCTCCTCCTTCTTTCTCCTTCTGTTTAAAAGAAATTTGTAGGAAGATTGACAAGATGTGTTTTTGGATATTTTTGTTCTCATATTGCACTAAATCCAAGAATCAAATGATGAAAGGATATTCTGTAAATATAATATTTTACATCTCCTTTTAAAAATGCAAGTTGAAGACTCACTTTGTTAAGAACAAAGGATCATTGATTGAGACCTGGGGGAATCCCATCGCTTCATTTGACAGACAAGGTAATTGAGCTCTAGAATGACTAAGTGGCTTCCCACGGATGCACAGGCTGTAGAGTGCAAAGCCATGATTTTAAACTCAGGTCTTTGGACCCCACATCAGGCGCTTTTGCCAGTGAACTAAGCTCCTACTAGGAAACAACTTAAGATTAGAAAACAATTTGAAATATGGATCAGATGATCTATAGGTCAGTGATTCTCAGGAAAATGCTAACACATTAAATTTTGTTAAAGAACTGAGGCTGAATTTCTTTAAGGAAATTGATCATTTTTTTACATCCTGCACCCGACTGGTTTCTTCTTTGTAAAACTGGCCAAATTGATTTTATTCTTCTCCACAAAACCACAGGAAGCTGTATTGTAGGATAACTTTGACCTCTCAGCTTTTCTATTCTAAAAAGAATCACTGTGGCCACAAAATACATGGTTATAGCTCTTCCACTGATCCAGGAACTAATGGATGACATCATCACTAATGAACAATGCTCCTCTTTTCAGCAAAATACAGAGAGGAAAGTTTTGAATGGAAGTTTCTGTGGTTGTAGTATGAGTGCTTTTACTCATGGGCAGAGACCTTTTTTGTTTAACTTGCTTTATGTGAGTTTGATGGCCATGTCATGTGTGGGAGGTCAGTGAATAGTGTTTGACGGCATGTAATCATTTAATCAACTGATGTTTTAAGATATGTTTACTATCAGTATTACCTGTTTCTTCCAGAAAGTTCCTGGAAGAAATTCAGTTCAGTTCTTCATCTTCTCTATTCTATCCTCTCTCGCTTGGTGACCTCATCGACTTGCATGGGTTTAATTATAAGGGAAGGGAATAAACATTTATTAAGCACTATTAAGCCAGGCACTGATCTAAGTGCTTTACAAATATTATCTCATTTGATCCTTATAATTATCAACTCAATTCAGATGACGACTAGATAGATAAAGAAAACATTTATTAAGCACTTATGTGACAGGTACTACGCTAAACCCCTGGGGTAGAAATACAAACAAGGGATAGTTTCTACCCTCAAGCTTACATTCTAGTGAAGAAAAAGGAGCAAGGAAGAGGGTAAGGGAAGTGTGGTGTGGAGATAGCTGCGAAGTGGCTTTGGAGGCTTGCTTCTAGGAAAGATAAACTCATGTGTTAGAGTCCATTGTTCCAGGAACAGAGTCTTCCCTGTGGAGGAGGATAAAGTTCACTTTATCTTCAGACTTCTCACATTGGAAATAACTCTCATGCCTCATGTGGCCATTTTCTTTTGAATGGGAGCTTCTTCCCAGAACCTTCATTTTAAGGAGAGCACCTAGGCTCACATAGTCACATTTTTATTCTTCTACTACTGACTCAGGCTTTCAACTTTCTCTGCCACTCTCTGAAGATCTCACTTTTCAACTTCCTTTTATGTGTTGTCTTCATCTGTTAAAATGTAAGCCCCTTGAAGATGGTGACTATCTTTCTTTCTGACTTATTTGTATTCCTAGTACTCAGCACAGTGCTTAGTGCTAGTAAGTGCTTAATAAATACTTGTTGATTTTTTGAAAAACTCAGCTTAAATGCCAATTCTCCATGATGCCTTTTCCCCCAGGTTTCTAGTGACAGCACCCATGCCCCACTGTCTTACATTTATTTTGTATATACTTATATAGGAACATGTTCTACCCCATAATTAAAGAGCCTACATTCTACTCATATAGAAAGAAAGGGTTACTTCTGATTTGTACCTCACAATTAGTATCCAGCTAACATAGATGCTGAATTAATAACCCTTTTTTAATCGATGACAATGATGATGAAATATAAGATAGTAGGAAGATGGCTACTATCTTTTTATCTCTAGAAAGTTAAACCTCTAAAGGAAATGTTTGTGGTGTTAAGGAATAGATTTTCCTGATGAATTTTGGCTGGGGCGGGGTGGGGTAAGTTGAGCAAAAAAGACTGCTGTTCAAACCACCCAAAAGAGATCTTCAAATGTAGGCCCTATTTTGGAAAATGTTAGCAGTTAGGGTAGGAATAAAAAGTCCCTTTTTGCCATTAACTGAGTCAACACAGGTTATCTTGTTGAAGAGTCAGTTAAATACTGTATATTTTCTGTGCAAGATTACATACTTATCACCCTTTCTGAATGTCTTTTGAATGACAAATGTAAATAGTTACTAAGCTCATTGAAAGATTTGTTTTGGGGGCTTTGTATATTGAAACATAGTGGCCATGACAACTCCCACTGGAAAGTTGGAGAATTGTCAGGTGACTTTTGCTTTCATGATTCCCAGGTAGAAGTTTCAGCAACTGAATGACCATTCTATCCCAAAGCAGGTTTTACAGGTATTTCCCCTAAATAGCTTGTAGACAGACTACCTTCAGGCAGAGAAAATGAACTGCCCTCTGATGGAACATCTTTCACAAAAGACCAAACTATACTGACCAAACTGTACTTAATGGGTGTGATGTTAAGTGTCTGCCTGAGCAGAGGATTGATTCTTGACAAAAGCAGGAGTTTGAGGGGACCTAATCCAGGGTGCTTTGTACTTGATAGGGGCTTAATAAATATTTATTGAGGTCAATTCAATAGAATGGGAGTGAATAGGTATGAAATTGGTTAGAAAAAGACCTTGGGTGATCTTTGACTTCTAAGTCAGCCACCTGGTCACTTTGATGATAGCAGAAGTACTTTATTCAGGAGTTAGAAAGATGTGTTTATGACCTTATTCTAGTTTTTACCTTATAAAAATTAAAGTATACTTCCTATCACAACACTGTAGCTCTTTTGACTTCCACTTTCTTATCCCTTCCCTTCTTCCCGTCTCAGTCTAGGCAGAGGTTACGATAAGCATTTTAAACTGGGTGGAGGGAGACTCTTAATGTACTATCCCTACTGCAAGGTTTTGTCACGTAAATCTCTACTTCCCCAGAAGACAGTGGAAGGCATTAGAACATGCAAGAGAGTGTTTTGTGGTTGTATTCATATAATTCTTGTATATTTCTTTGTAGGTACACTCCTAGATATTTTATATATTCTGTAGTTGTTTTGAGTGGAATTTTATTTTTCTGACTCAATTCATTTTAAGACCTGAACATTTCATTGTCCTTGTTAACCGTCCCCTACTTTCTCTAATTTCATGCATTGCACTGGGGAGAAGTCAGTTGAGCGGGGGTATAAAATTGTACACTTGGGCTGAAAAATTAACTCACAAATATAAGATGGGAGAGGCATAGTTCATGTGAAGAAGATCAAAGTATTTTAGTTGATCAAAAGCTCAATATGGGGGACAGCTAGGTGGCAAAGTGGAAAGAGCACCATCCCTGAAGTCAGGAGGATCTGAGTTCAAATCCAGCCTCAGACCAAACACTTGACACTTACTAGCTGTGTGACCCTGGGCAAGTCACTTAACTCCAATTGCCTAAAAAAAAAATTTAAAAAAATCTCAATATGAGTTAACAGTGAGATGTGGCAGCTAATAATTATTAATGTTCTCTTAGGCTGCATTGAAAGGTAGAATGAGTGAGATGATAAACCTACTGTGTTCTGTCTTAGTCATTGCAGTCAGTCTGTATCTCAAGTACTGGGCTGCCACACTTTAGGAAAGACATTGAGGAAGCTAGAAAATTTCCAGAAAAGGGTAAGTAGGACAGTGAGGGACCTAAAGATTATAGCATAGGGGCAATGATTGATTCAGATGGGGATGGTTAGCTTGGAGAAGACTTAGGGGCTACATTATTGACTTCTGATATTTGAAAGGTTGTTTCATAAAAGAGAGATTAGACTGTTCTGCTTGACCCAAGTGGGCAGAACCAGGAGCAGAGATTTAGGCTTTATGTAAAAGCATATGGCTTTTGATTGGTCTCTGAAAAGCCTCCATGGAGGAAGGTAGTCTTTAGCAAGGACATAAGGGGCATGGTTAGAAAGAGTAAAGGGGAATGGTCTATATGAAGGCTTAGTGGTGGTAGGTGATAAAAATGAAAACACATTTAATACTAATAATAACAGTTCACATTTATATCAAGATAACAAGCATTTATTGTTCTTACTATGTGCCAGGCACTGTTTATGTGTGATATAGGGAGCTAGCATTTTGCTGGTATAGAGGACTCCTTGGTGAGGAAACTCTCATAACCACTTTAGATTGGCATCTTCGCTGCAACTGATAATCTTAAAGATCACTAAGAGGCTAGCTGTTTTGCCCAGGGTCACCCAGCCAATATGTGTGGAAGCAGGAGTTGAATCCATGTCTTCCTGGCTCCAAGGTTAACTATCTGTTTTATCATACTTCCTTTCAAGGTTTGTCCTTTTGCAAAGCATTTTACATGCTTTATCTAGTTTTGATTTGCTTGGCTAGTATGTAGAGCATGAGGCAGAATAATAGTGAAATAGGATTTCATTTGGGGGTGAGGGAATCACAGAGTAGAAAGGGACCTAAGAATTAATCTGTTGAAGCAATGCCCTAAAAGATATAGCTAGAAGTTTTAATTTGATTTGAAAAGGCCATTAGGATCTCTTTTAGCTTTCAGAAAATGGGAATACCAGAATCTGAACAGCATATGACTGGACACATTTGGAGCACAAAGAATATTTGAAATTTTATTTGGCATTGATTCCCTGGGGAGGAAAGTATTGTGTGGCACACTTCTTGGTTTTATTTTTTTAGGGGAAGACACTCCAGGATCATCTTTTGGATGTCCCTGTCACTCGTGAGCAATTAAACCATTATCGTAAAGCTGCAGAAAATGCCCGTAGTGAACTTGCTGCATCTCTGGTCAAATTTGAATGTGTTCAGTCTGAGGTAAGGTCTCTCTTTTTTGCTCTTAATTTAATTGTGCTGATTCAATTCTTGTGAGTAGCAGTTAACCATACATACTATTGAGAAAGTAGACCCTTACTTCCCCTGTACCATTATCTATGGCTTGGTGAGAGAGTATGTCTTAATGCTACCTCCTAATGGGTAACACCCCCAACATTGTGATTGCAATGAAACATTTCTTAGGAGCTAAGTATTCTTTACATCTAAGAGCATAATGTTTTTGCCTAATAACATAAGCCTCAGGTCAACTCTGGAGAGAATTAAGGATACTATTTTGGGGTTAGAATGGGCTCAAGAAGCCTGAAATCTTTCTACACATATCTTCTTTTGGTCTGAGCTGACTTGTAGACTTAGAAACCCACTCCTGGTTTCTTTTCCCTAATGACTCTGAGTCCTTTAGGTTCTGGAAAAAATTTTGGAAAAGGCCCCGTCTGAAATGACTGGAATCCTTGATTGTGTGTTGGAACCCATCTGTTACCTGGAAATTCGGGGCTCCTGAATCAAGTCTGTAGTGGGTCATAGCATAGAAATACTGTATCATAGATGAAGAGCTGGAAGACCTTTTGTTGTTAGTTCAATCCCCTCATTTTTACAGATGAGGAAATTGAGGTCCAATGAGGATAAGTAAATTATCCAAGCTTATACAGCTAGAGAAATGAGTGTCAGTCCCAAGATTTAAGCCCAAATCCTATTTCTAAACCCAGATACAATCTTTCCACTGTATCATGCCTCACAAATTCTAAAAGAGGTTCAGTTATTTCTGAAGGCCTGTGCTGGTCCCAGACTACTTCTTTGCATAAGAACCAGGGACCCCTTTAATAATAATAATGATGATGATGATGATGATGATACTAACATTTATATAGTGCTTACCATGTGCCAGGTGTGCTAAGTGCTTCATAACCTTTATCTCATTTAGTCCTCACAATAACCCTGGAAAATAGGTGCTATTATTATCCCCATTTTACAGCTGATATATGGGTTGTTGTTGTTGAGTCACTTTTCAGTCTTATTAGGCTCTTTGTGACCCTATTTGGGGCAAAGATATTGGAGTGGTTTGCCATTGACTTGCCCAGCCAGGGTCAAAGAGCTAGTGAGGATCTGAGGCCAGATTTGAACTCTGTCATCTTCACTCCAGGCCCAACACTATCCATTTTTATCACCCAGTTGTCATTAAGTTCATAGGAATGATCTGGGTTAACTCACTATGACTGCAAGCCTGCCAACTGTAAGTTAATTAACTGAAGTTGTAGCCCTGGCGATTGAAAAGAGATATACAAGAAGGGTGGTTCAGAAAGCCCTTTGCGTATTTACTGTGTTCAGAATCCCACTGTCTTAGATTTTCATAGTACTGTAAAATTTGTTCTTAGTATATACTTTGTAGAGACTTTCCTTTGACTCTGGCTGTCCTTTTAAAGCCTGTGCTATTTTTCTCTTTCTCATTTACACTTTTTTCCCCCTAGAAAGTAAACAAAGAGACAGTTTTTGCATGATGAATAATTGTGTGTGTAGATATTTATACCTAGAAAATCACGAACAATATGAATTATTTGTTTGTCATTTCATTTTAAAAAGCAGTATGTAGCAATATTAACAATGCAACACAGATTTTGAAAATGGGTGCACAATTGCAAAACGTACCACAAATATATTTTGAAAGAGAATAAAATAAACTCAAGAAGTTGCTTAAGTGCTTTTAGGAAGGCCTGAATAAATAACATTGTTTTGATATCATTTTCCCCTTTGGTATTTCATATTCAAATATAGAAGATGATTCAGTGCAAAAAGATAATCAACAATAGGAGAGAATAATGTAAATATAGGTAAAATGATGATACTGTAATACTTGTTTCTTAAATTCAATTAGCGAAGTTCCTTAGTTTCTTCTTTTTTACTTCTTTGTTTCTTGGTTAGCTTCTGGATCTCAGGTCTAAGATGTTTTCTAAAGACATCTCATGCCAAGAGTTGAAGGCTGAAATGGAGAGTTATAAAGAAAACAATGCAAGACAGTCCTCTCTTCTCATGTCATTGCGAGACAGGGTTCAGGAGATAGAGAAAGAATCTGCAGCACTAGCCACATCCAAAATGAGAACAGAAATAACAGCTAATGCTGCAACCCAGGAGAATCAGGAATTGAAGAAGAAAATCACGGACTTGGAAGTTAAATTAAAGTAAGCAACTGAAAATAAAATGTCATGTCATTTGATATTAAGCCACCAGACTATACAGTCTGAGGGGACAAAAGCAATGTGATGGGCATCTCACCTTTTTAAAAAATGGCCTTGCAATTCAATTTTCAAAAGTCTTTTGATCTTAAATGTTTTTATAATCTCATAAAAATTTTACAAGTCCTTTCTATCTATATGTCAACAATAACCTCAACAAATTCAATATTCGTCAGTATTCATTCGGAATGGATAAAAACAGAATTAAATATCAGACTCACATTTTGAAACTTCTGCTTGGAGCAATAATTTAAATTGTTGAATCAAAGATGAGAATAGAAGACAACATTCATTTATAAACCCTTTCAGAGAGATGTGTCATGACCCAGGATACTCTGCTATATTTCTTAAGTCATTCCTGTGTAACAGAAGGAAGAATGGATTTACAGTAAGGAGAATTAAGATAAGAGTCTCCCTATGGCCCTATTCCCCTGGTAGTCTTAATTTCCTTACCTATAAAATTTGTCTTTTGATTTCTAGTGCCTAATAGGATGTGGCACATAGTAGGCACTTAATAAATGTTTGTTGGTTGATTTATAGGGACAGCAATTCTTGTCCTACCTGCCTTCTAAACATTGAAAGTACAGAATAATTGTCAGTTACAACTACCATTTTTCTGATATTAACACTGGGGTGCACTCATCATTTTGAACCTATTTGTAAACAGGGTTCATTTAACTTCATTGAATTCTGGCAAAAGCTAGTAACTGACCCCAAACTGGATTTGTGGTTGCCCTGTAAAAGGGAGGAGCTAGCGAAATAAGGATTTGAAACATTTAAACCTTTAAAAAAAACACCATTTGCCCCAAATCGCAGTAAAGACTTTTTGAGGCCACTAGGTGGCGAAGTAGATAGAGACCTGGACTTGGAGTTAGGAAGACAGGAATTTAAATTTGGTCTCAGACCCTAGTTCTGTGACCTTGGGGAAGTCACTTAGCCTCTCTCTTTCTCAGTTTCCTCATCTGCAAAATCGGGATAGTGAGAGTGCCTGCCTGTAAGATTGTGAGGATGAAATGAGATTAGTATGTGTAAAGCACTTTAAAAACCCAAAGTACTATATGAGTGCTAGCCATTATTATTTTTAGTAAATCAACCAAAAATATAGAGAGACAGAGTTTGTAAAAAATAAGATTGAGGTCATAAGATAACAAGTATATCGAGGGGATCAAAGCCTGGAAAGGGTTGAATCTGACCACTTAGATGGTTTCCCATGCAAATGAATGTGAGGGGGAAAGGCAAAGAATTAAACCTAGGAAAAACTACTTCAGAGATGGCTCTCCATCTCAATCAGCTTTGTTTCAGATTCCTGCTTTTATTAAGAATACATAGATGGCCTCAACTCTTTCCAGGCTTTTAACCTCACCCAACATAGTTCTTAGGCATTCTTCTGGTGGAGTAGCTGAGAGGGAAAATAGAATCTGTTGGGGGCCTATCTTGAGTCCCAAATAATGAATACGATTCTTATAGCCTCAAAAAAGGAACAGCTAAATGAGTCACAGCAAAACTAATCTTTTATTGTTGTATATTTTTCTAAGTAGAAATATGATATGCTTTTGAGGACATGTAATTATATGGTTTATTTCATGTGGAGTACAGTGAAAGAGTTTATAGGAAAAAAAATAAACATGGCAAGGAAGGAAAGCAGTAATCATGATTGCCATGTACTGTCTGTAAAAAGTGGTACCAATTATTGTAATGAGTCCATTTTACCATTAAAGTACTTCTTAATGGCCTTTTAGAGTTTTTGAGATGGCCACTGGTATTTCAGAAAGCTCATCTGAAATTCTGAAATGAAAACTCCGTATTGGAGCACAAGCTTATGTAAACTTGAATGATTTTGTTTGGCTGTCCCATCTTTCTGCTTCTTGAGGATTTGTAGTTGATTGGGACTTTGATCTGGCTACTCTCATTTCCAGGGATTAAACTTGATTGTTCTCTTTGCAACGATTAGAAAACATTCCTTTTAGTGAGGAAGTGACCTAAGATGACTTTTCTTCTTGAAACATGGGAATATCGAGATAGGCTTTTCATTGGCCCCATGCCCAGAACGCTCTCCCTCCTTACCTCCCCACCTTCTGGCTTCCTTGGTTTCTCTAAAGACTCAGCTCCAATCCCACTTTCTAGAAGAGGCCTTTCCTGGTCCCCACACTCTGACATTGATGCTTCATTTATGCTTGGATAGCCCTTGTACACACACTTAGTTGTTGCCTGTGGTGTCTCCCGTTATAAGGTGAGCACCTTGAGGGAAGGAACTGTGTTTTCCCTTTTCTGTGTCACTAGCTTCTAGCAGAATGCCTGGCACATAACAAGTGTTTTCTAAATACTTGTCGATTGATTCAATGATAAAGCACTTATTATGTACTTACTATGTCCCAGGTATTCAACTAAGCACTGATACAAGCCAGAAAGGCAATCAATCTTTGCATTTGAAGAGCTTGCATTATGATTGGGAAAGATGATACACATAGGGTGCTGATTACCTCCATGGCAATTGTGTGGACTGGGCCTCAGCAAGATTAAAAACTGTAGGTTTCTGCGCCTGTAAGTGGGTAAGACTTCTTATCAGTTAAAACATTTTCTCCTTTGGTTCTTGTTTTAAAACCTTGCATTCCATGTATTTTATGGGGAAGAGGTATGATTTTGTCTCTATAGGAAAATTTCTTCTCCTAATATAGATCTGTAACTGTCCTGAAACTTAGAATTTTAGAGGCTGTCTCTAGTGCTATGAATTTAAATGACTTGCCCAGAGTCACATTGCCATAGATTATGTTAAAAAATATTTTGATAACTATTTTTTTTTTAAATTTTGAACTGAAATTCAAAAAGACAAAAAGCCGCCCACCCTATTTCAATATCACTGGTTTCCTTTGAAATCCTGTGTGTCTTATTTTATTCATTTAAGAACATTATTCTGAGAATGGGTCTATAGGCCCCACCAGACTGCCCAAGAAGTGCATGACACAAAAAAGATAAACAACATCTTGTTTAGAACAAAGATAAGGAGCCTCTCAGGTAACTAATGATCTCAGGCTTAGTCTTTTCTTTGGACTTTTCTTCCCGAACCAGAGGCTTGGGTTGGCTGTCAGAGATCTCACCTTACTTACTGATGAGTTTTCCATTTGAACTGTGAATGCAAGGCTATATAAATCAGGGATTATTTGTTTTCAAACTATCAAATAGCTCAGGAGTTTCCTAGTTTTCAAATCCTAAATCTTTTCCATTCTCTTATGTAGATGAGAGGGTGGGGAAGGCATGGGAGACAATGCCTAGCACAGTAGGTGAGATAATTGTCTGTCTCCTCAGCTCCATTCCTGATCCTTTTATATTTAGAGGGGCTTTGAGGAATGACCTTACTCAAACATGAGGTGTGCTCTTCACAGGCTATGATGCTACTAGTGGAGGAGGACACAGGCACACACATAGAATGCGAGTGAACAGGTAACACGCCTTGAGGGCATACATCCAGGGAATCTACATGAAGGGACACATGTTAAGAACTTGTATGTTCAGGGAACATTTATGGAAGGTGCACACTTATGGGACTGTTTAGGATAACTACCCTATCTGATAGCTTTAAGGAGATGCTGACGTCCTCTGGTGATCACACTTTCTTCTACTATCTGATGGCTATCCAGTCTCCTCCATTCAGCTAGACATCTCCTCTGGTCTCATAGTCATTAATCTTTCCTCTGCTACTATCTTCTGTGCTATTTCTCAGGGCTGTTGGGAAGAGCAGATTTGCTGTAGAGCACTTTGCTAACCTTAATTGCTACATATGATTATGATTGTTATTCAGTTCCTCAAGGCCATCTCTTAGGTTCTTGGCACCCATGGATTAAAGGGTAGTGACTAGAAAAGTCTCTCCCTGACAAAGACAAGCTAATAGCTCTTTCGCCGGAGCCGAAGTCATGAACCACTGCCCTTACCTAAGGGCAGCCAACAAGTACCAGGCTAAAGGGGTGTGTGTGTGTGTGTGTGTGTGTGTGTGTGTGTGTATGTGTATGTGCGTGCCTATGTTTAGGTCTGATTCAAAGTCTATAGTCCCAGACAAGGGGTAGAAATTCATTGCAACTTCCTTTAAATACCTTGTAGTGATCCACTTCTCTACAACCCAAATCAGGGACTATGCTTCCCTGCTTCCTAACTCATCTTCCCCCCAAATACAACAATCCACAAGATTAGATGGAGGCTGAAGGTACTTGGAAGCCCACTTTACTAGCGGTCTTCTTGTACATGAATGTAAATGAAGTTGGGCAAGAGCAAAAATTAAATATTCTCCGTGCTTTAGTCTTACACTTCTGCCTTTACTATATATTTCTTTCAGCTTGGTGTTGTTCAGTTGTTTCAGTCATTTCCAACTCTTTGTGACTCTGTTTAGGGTTTTCTTGACAACGATACTGGAAGGGTTTGCCATTCCCTTCTACAGCTCATTTCTTACAGATGAGGAACGGAGACAAACAGGGTTAAGTGACTTGCCCAGGGTCATGTAGCTAGTAAGTGTCTGAGGCTAAATTTGACCTCATGAAGATGAGTCTTCCTAACTCTGGGCACTCTATCCACTGTGCTATCTTAGTTGCTCTTTATTTCATTGACAAAGGTCTTAATTTTATATTTTATTCCTACCAGTGAAAAATATCTCTGTCTTCCTATACAAAAAAGCTCTTCCCCCTTGGCTCCCGAAAATATCTGTTGCTACTCCAATGAAAACAAAAAGTGAAAAAAATCAGCAGACAATACTGAAAAATTTAAAATAATTTGTCTTAAACTATCTTAAGAAGAGATGGAATATCTTGGTTCTCATCTTAGTTCTCTGTAATCATGGGCAAGTCACTTTATCTGTTGGGACTTATTTGTAAAATGAGGACGTTAGATTAGGTGGTTTCTGAGGTCTCCTCTAGTGTTAAGTTCTGCAATTCAATAATAAAATAAACATTCGTTAAGTATTTACAACTGTGCCAAGCATGCTAACTTCTGGAGATATAATTAAGAAAGAGAAAGTCCCTGCCCTCAAGGAGCTTACAATCTAATAGCTGAAGTCTGTACACTAAGGAGAGCTGAAAAGGTGGAGAACAGAGGCTACGAGGCCCGGGCTCGATGATGGTAGAGTGAAGCCAAGCAAGGTGACTGATAGAAAATGAAGAGTTGGCTGAACTTCTTGACCCTCTTTAAAGGGAGTGTTTAGGGGGCATTTTATGCTTCTTCCTCTAGCCTTCCTCTAGGAGAAAGACAGAGGCAAATTCTAGGCTGCTAAGTTGAAAAAACATGCATTATTTTAAGGCCTATGATAACTGTTTAATAATGGCCATTTTATTTTAAATATACTTTAAATCTATGGTGCATATCATTGAACTCGAATTCACTACTGATTTTGTGCTTGCTCATAAAGTGTGAGAAACATTTTATAACAAGGCAAGGAAGGAGAATATGCATATCTTTAATTACTTTTGTTCTTCCCAGCTTCACATTGGGTTGTAGCCTCTAGTCAAAACATGTAATTTACTAGCTTGAAAAAAAAAAGGCTTGTCCTTAAGCCTAGCTAACAATTTTTTTTTTTAGTAAAGAGCATTCTTGTTGAAGCCTCTATGAGAACAATAAACTGGCATACGTACAGGAGTGTTTACAATTTTCAGTTTTGCTTGTGGAACATTGCCTTCCAGTATTATCAGTCTTGATGTATTTGTTGTTTGCTGGTTAGAAAGTGTTTAAAAGAAAATGAAGAAAGCAAGAACCAAGCAGCTGAGAACAGCAGGAAACTTGAGGAATTTCTAATCCAACTTTCTGGCTGCTTAGAAATGGATATGAAGAATGAAGAGGAATCTCAGGAGCATTTAATTTCAAAGGTGTTTGTTGAAATTTAACAAAATTTACTTTCTATAGAAATGGTAAAAAAAATTGCGTGGGAAGGAAATTGGACACAAATCAGGAGATTGTCCCTAACAGCTGAATGACCTTGATTAAGTCACTTTATGTCTTTGGGCTCCATTTTCCTTCTATGTTAAATGAGAGAGTTATGATTTTGATCATTATGATTTTTTTTTTGGATGGGCAATGGGGATTAAGTAACTTGCCCAGGATCACACAGCTATAAATATGTGTCTGAGGCTGGATTTAAACTCAGGTCCTCCTGAATCCAGGGCTGGTGCTCTATCCACTGTGCCACCTAGCTGCCCCTGATCAATATGATTTTGAAGGCCTTTTCTGGCTTACTTGATCTTAGTGGGGTTATGCTGACTGCTTAATTGTTTTTAAATATATCTGTAGTTTGGTAAATTAAATCACCAATCCATCAAACAGTGTGCTTTTATTAAGTGCTTGTTATGTCAGGCCCCCGATGTAGTGGGAGACCTTGGCCTTTTTAAGCTAAGGTCTTTCCCAGGTCTCAGTCTGACTGAGGCAAGTCCATTCATTGATTAAGGCTAGGTGAGAAATGAGCCAAAGAATGGCCTCTTTTATCTAGTCAAAAAAAAAAAAGACATCAGTTAGGGAGGGGAAGACTGTCTGGGTCTAGGGCCATCTCCAGGCATCCTGATCTATATCTTGCCACTGGACCCAGATAACTTTGGAGGAGAAAGTGAGGCTGGTGACTTTGCACAGTCCTCCCTCACTTAAATCCAATTCATTTGTAAGTCATGGCATTGAAGGACAAACAGCAATAGCAACAGCAACAACAATTATGCCAGGCACTGTAATAAGCACTCTTGACGCAAATGAAAAATAACAATATTCCTCGTCCTCAAGGAACTTACATTCTAGTGCAGGAGATAACATGTAAATGAATAGATATATACAATCTATCTATCTATAACATACAACGTATGTATACACACATGTATGTGTGTGTGTGTGTGTATTTGACTGTCCACATGTTTTAAAGTTACATTGCCTACCCACCCTTCCAGTTAGAAACAAAATCAAAGGAAAAAGTTGATCTCAATGACATTAGCATTTCACTTTGGAAAAAATTAACATCATGTTGCAGGTATTAAAATGTGATTACTATAATTAAAATGAAAGATTATTTACTTCAAATAAATAACACACATGATCCTTTAGGATTTTTTTTTTTTTTGCTTTTTGGTGAGGCAGTTGGGTTGAGTGACTTGCTGAGGGTCACACAGCTAGTAAATGTCAAGTGTCTGAGGCCGGATTTGAACGCAGGTCCTCCTGACTCCAAGGCCAGAGCTCTATCCACTGTGCCACCTCCTTTAGGGGATTACTTAGAAAACTTAAAATAACTTACCATATACAACAACCCCTGGTAAGAGACTCTAATGTCCACTGGGCCTTGGAGAAGGGACATCTTGTCTCTTTCAAGTTTTCTTTGCCCTTGGTCTCTATCAGAATCTAGGCACTCTCTCTGTCCCAAGTAGAATCGATCACTGGCCCGTTAACCTGAACCTGCTAGTTCTACACCTATACTTCGTTACTTCCACAAAGAAGGGAGGTCTCATTTTCTCATTAGGTCAAGCTCAGTTATTATAACTTCAAGGTCCTGAGTCTTAAAAACCCAGTGCTTTGAACCGTAGTCAAGCAAAACAAATTCCCGTTGGCCATGTTCAAAAATGTATCTCTTATTCTGCATCTTGAGTCAATCACTTTTTTGTTAAGAGGTTGGAGGTTAAGAGCATTCTTTTCATTGGTCCTCAATAGAAATTCTGAAAATCAAGGAAGAGATAAATAGAATTAAATAGAAAAAAAAGAAGAAAAAACCCTTGAATTAATAAATAAAACTAGGAGCTGTTTTTTTAAAAAAAAGATTTTTCAAAAGTACCTCTTAGTGAAATAAGTTGACAAAGTATATTTCATATGGATGGGATTGACGTGGTAGCACAGTGTACAGAGCTCTGAACTTGGAGCAGGAAGGCCTGAGTTCAAATATGACCTCAGACACTTTTTAGCTGTGTGACCCTGGGCAAGTCACTTAACCTCTCTCTCAGTTTTCTGTTCTGTAAAATGGGGTTGTTGTAAGGATAAAGTGAGATAATATTTGTAAAGAACTTTGCAAAACATAAAGTGCTATATAAATGCTAGTGTCTACTACTACTATTACTGCTACTACCACTACTACCACTACTACCACCACTACCACTACTACCACCACTACCACTACTACTACCACTACCACTACTACTACTACTGCCACTACTACCACCACCACCACCACCACCACCACCACCACCACCACCACTATATGATAATTGCATTCAGTACTGTGACATATGCAATTCCCAATTAAAAGTCCTCTTACAAATACTTGACATTCATTCCTACTGCTGTCATCTTTTCTTGCCACATTGCACTAAAATAATTTCTATACCTGTAATACTGCTGTCAGAGACTCGATAAGTATATACTTTATTTTACAATTTGGAAAATGTCAGAGTCCTGCCACTATTTCCTTAAGGCTACTCTTGGATTAATACTAACTTGACTGCTTAGTAGACTTATATCTTCAGAATTTAGAGGTTGCTTTGAAAATGTGATCTTTCAGGCCAATGTAGCATTTGTTCTTTTTGCTACTTGGATCAGTTAGCCCACTGAATTGTGTGGAGATTAGCACTTGCTCATAGAAAGCAGCATAAAAAGTTGTTCATTTTTATTTTTCATTCCCTTCAGGTTAGGGAGCTGCATAAGGAAAACACACTTAAGCAAGAACAGATTGTTACTCTTGAAGAGACTATAAATGTCCATGAGATGGAGGCAAAAGCCAGTAGACAGACCATCATGCGACTGGTTTCAGAAGTAAACAAAGAGCAGAAAAAAACTGCCTCCTGCATTGAAGAGAAAGAAATGCTGAACAAGGTACACTATGTGAAGGGTGTGTGTGTGTGTGTGTGTGTGTGTGTGTGTGTGTGTGTGTCGTGCATGCGTACTTGCAGGACTCACATTTGTAAAGCAGAGTTGGCCAAGAGGAAGCAGGGTCATTGCTCTGAGCAGACTGACTTTAATGAGGGGAAAAAAAAGGCAAGCATCTCCTTAGAAGTAGCTTTGGTGAACTGTATGGCCCTCATGGAAATGAACGTACCGTTTATTTCTTCCTAATGTGTATCATGGAAAAGTGAATGCTTCTGATAAAATATGCCTTTTTTAGTGACATTGTAGAGGAAGAATATTTAGCTCTAAATATTATCCAGGCAAAATAAATCATCTCATCTCTGACTTCTGTTTTGTCTGAAATATTTGAAAATGAGAATTAAATATGTACTGTATTTTAATTTTATATCTGCAGCCTTGAATTTTAAAATCCTGGGACAACAAATTATTCTGTGTAAACCAATAACTGTATACTATTAAAATGATTTGTTTTTACAAAGCAAAAAATAGACTGGGTTGAATCCTTGAAGCAATGAAACCATAAAGAGAGAAGATTAAATTGTTGTTAAAGGAGGCCATGTTCAAATAAAAATGATTATGGGAAACAAGGAGAACTAGAGGCAGTCCTACTTTGTGAAAGAGATTATATTTCAAAAGCTGGGTGAAGGATAAAGATAGAGAGATCCATAGGCAAAATAGGGTAAATGTTAAGGATATTTTCTTTGGTTGTCTCCACTAAGAACATGGTGTTTAGTTGAGACAGGATGATCAGTGATGACCAGAGATTTAGCTATAATAGTTCATCGATAGTTGGATAGATGAAGCCTTTATTGAGAGCTCTCTATATTCCAGGTATTGTGCTAAGTGGGATACAGATACAAGCTATGCAATATAGTGTCTCTGCCATCAAGGAATTTATATTCTAGGAGGGAAGACAAAACCTAAAGGGAACTGGAAGGAGGAAGAAATAGGATACCAACCAATTGGTGTGGTGTGGAGCCAGACAGGAAGTGACAAAGAAGCTGGGAACCTGGCAAGATAAAACAAATGTTTACCTATCAGAGCTGAGGGACCCAGGGACAGAGCCCAAGTTATCAGTGGGGAGGAGGTAGAGTTGATAGTGAAAGTATTACATGGTGTGGAGTAGGCCAGCAAACAATAGTTCTACAACACATTAGCACTTCCTCTTTTCTTATTATTATAAATTTACCGATAAGGGATCCAAGATGACTGAGAACTGATGATATACATGATAACCTCTGAATTGAGCAGGTTATCTTGTCTACTATCCTTGTACTGGTTGCCACAGACTAATGATGTGTATATCAACAAACCCAATAAACATAATGCTGATTATTTGAACTTAGTAATATAATTAATTAATAACAGAAATGTTCTTCTGGTTGTACAGTATATTTATGAATCTCAAAAGATTCAGGTCTGAGTGTGACCCTAAAGTCAATGTGAGGATACCTGGTCCTTACTCCTCATCTTCTCCTCTCAGCTGAAAACTTTGCTTCAATCTTCACCAAAAAAAATTGAGACTATTCATCAAGAGCTCACTCTTCTCTATTCCTTTTCATCTTGGGCTATACAGACATATTTCCCCATTATCTTCTCTATTGTCTCTGTCTCTGCTGAAGAGGTAGCCCTTTTTCTTGCCAAGGCAAACCCCATCCTTGATCCTGTCCCATGTTCCCTCCTATCTTCTCCAGAAGATTTCTCTTTTTATTACCCCTACTCTTTAATCTGTCTCTCCCTATCTACTAGCTTCTTCCTTGCTTCCTGCAAACATGCCTATGTCTCTCCTCAACCTTAAAAAGCCCTCACTTGATCTGATCATTACTGTTAGTTATTGTCCTATACCTTTTCTCCCCTTCTCAGTTAAACTTCTTGAGAAAGCCATCTACACTAGGTGTCTCTTCTTTTTCTTCTTTCACTAGTATCTGAAGCTTCTGTAGTCTTGTTTTTTAATTCATCATGCACTTGAAACTGCTTACTCCAGAGTTACCAGTAGTCTCTTAATTGCCAAACCTAATAATCTTTCCTCAGTCTTCACTTCTTTACATCCTATGAACCTTTACAGCCTTATCACCTGGCTACTCTTTTTAACAAAGGTCCTTTTATGTAAATTATTCTAATTATTACAAATCCTTTGTAGGATTTTTTTTTTAAAGAACAAAAGTGTTGTACTGTGTTGGAGTTTTTTCTGCATCTATTGAGATGCTAATGCGGTTTTGGATGTTTTGGTTTTTAATATGATTAATTATATTGATTGTATTCCTGATATTGAACCATGCTTGAGTTCTTGGTATAAATCCCACTTGGTTATAATGAATAATTTATTAGATAAATCACTGTAGTCTGTTTGACAGTATATTGTTTAAAAATTTTGAATCAATATTCATTAATGATATTGGCTTATAGTTTTCTTTCTGTGTTTTATCTTTTTCAGATTTAGGTAGTAGGACTATATTTGTCTCATAAAAGAATTCTGGTAGGTTACTTTCTCAATTTTTGAGAATAATTTTGAAGTATAGGTAATAACTGTTCTTTAAAAGTTTGATGGAATTCTCCTATAAATCTATCAGGACCAGTAGTTTTTTCCTTTGATAGTTCTTTTTTAGCTAGATGTATTTGATTTTCTGAGATTGGGTTATTTAAGATCTCTCCCTGGTCTTCTGATATTTTGGGTATTTTATATGTTTGAAGGTATTCATTTATTTCTTTTGTGTTCTTAGTTTTCTTTGCGTATAACTATACATGATATGTTGCGTTTATTTTTTTATTTCTTCTGGTTTTGCTGTGATTTTATCTTCCTCACTTGCTACTTTACTGGTCTGATTTTCTGCTCTCTTCTTTTTAATCAGTTTAATAAAAACTTATCAATTTTATTAGTTTTTTCAAAGAAACCAGCTTTTAATTTTATCAATCAATTTCAAGGCTTTTTTGTTCTAATTTACTGATTTCCCTTTTAATTTTTAATATCTCTTCCTTTGTATTTCTTTTAGATTTGTATATTTGTTGGCTTTTTAATTTTTAAAATACGTATTCAATTAATTAATCTCTTTTTGTATTTTCCTTATGTATATTAGTAGTAGATATGTAATTTCCCCTATAAAGTACACTTTAGCTGTATCCCTCTAATTACTTCCTCCCCCTTATTTGCTTCAAAAATCTCTTTCTTGTGTCCATGCTCTACCATTCCCCCATGTTCCAGCTGCCCCCAAGAGTTCCACACTTCCCCTTCTGGGTCGACTTTTCAAGAAGAAAATCCCTTAGGCCACACCCAGCCCAAGAATCCCATCTCCCTTAATAGACCATATCTCTTTGTCCCTAGGAACATTCATCAGTGGAACCTCACCCTCACTCCCACCAAAGCAAGGCCTCCTTCTTCCCCGCACCTTTTTAATCCTTCCTCCCTCCTCCTCACTCACTCCTTCTGTAGGTTCTTTTCTTTCTGAAATCACTTTCCCCTTATAGCTATCCCTTGATTTGAACCCAGCACATAATATACTCCCCTCTATTTCTTTGTTCCTCTTCCCCCATTCACCCTCCTATTTTGTCATATATTCCCACAAAATTATTGATTCATCTGTAGACAGAATGTTGCCATAATCTGTCCACCATATACCCTAGGCCTACATCTTCACTGCTACCTCCACTGAACTTCGCCTTCACCCCATCTTCTTGTGTACCTTTGGAAAGAAGTTTCTTACTGGTCTCTCCATTCCTACTCTGTTGCTGTTGCTGTCCTTAGCTGCTGCATTTATTCACTCCTCCCTCATGCATTTCTGTTGTTTGGATTGTTCAAGAAGCAAATAATCTGTTCAGTTATGGTTTTCTTTCTAGACATTTTTTCAAGCACCTCTTTATTATTGATCATCTTTTTCCGTTTGTAGGTAAGCCAAGATTTCATGGTAGGTCATCCTGAGCTGCATTCTGACTTCCATTGCTCTTTGCAATACATTATTCCATTCCCACCTGCATTTTCTGGTGGGTGCAGAATAGTCTAGCATTACTTGAATTTCATTTCATTGTTGCTTGATGGTCTTTTTTCTGATTGCTTATACAACTTGTTTCTGAATTGAATTGTTAAATTTAACCACTATGTTTCTTGGAGTTTATAGCTTTTTTTTTTTCTGGAGGTGATCTATGAATTCTTTCCATTGATATTTCATTTTCTGTGTCCAGAAATTCTGTTAAAGTTTTTTTGTCCTGTTCTGTTCTTCTAGGGGGCCTATGATCCTTGAATTGTCTCTGTGCATCCTGTCTTTGAGATCAGTATGTTTTGCTTGCATAGTGAGCAGAGTTTCTTTTAATGTTATTGTCTTTTTTTAGATTGTCCTTCATTTCTGTGTATTTGAATTCCTGGTCTATTGTTTTCTCTTTCTCTTTTTTTCCTTTGCTGAGACTTGCCATTGCAGATTTCTCCTTTTCTAGTCTGCTCATTATTTTGGCTATGCAGGCCATAAATTCTGCTCTCATATTTTCCATTTCTCTTTTGAACCACTTGGTAATAGTGTATTGTGGTTCTCTTCTTACATTCCACAGGGTCTTCTGTCTCATCAAATATTGGATTGTTTTCTTTGTTTTGCAACATTTCTTCATAGATATCTGAACTTATTTATTAGATCTGGAGGCTACATATCCTTCCGTTGTTAATGTTTTCCCTGATGATTTGTGTCTTTAACGTTCATGTTTTTTGAGTTTTTTTCTTCTTGAGATCTTTGGTAATTTCAGTCTTTTTTCACCCTTCTAATGGTCCTCTATTTACTTTCTGACTGTGTCTCCTCTGATGGTGGTTTCCTTGGGCCATCTCAGGTTTTTCCCATGCTGGGCAATTCACGGTTCACCAGCTTCTGCCTCAAGTGATTTTTGGGTGGTCAGAACTGGCCCCAGCTGGGTAATGTGCTCTTTTCCTCAGGCTTAGTGCAATGCTTCTCAGCATCTCTCTTCCCCACTGCCCCCACCCCCCATCCCCATAC